GCTGTGGCAGTACACACCTGTAGTCCCAGCTACTCGGGAAGCCGAGGCATGAGAATTGCTTAAACCCAGGAGGTGGAGGCTGCAGCAAGCTGAGATTGCGCCACTGCACTCCAGCCTGGGCGACAGAGCAAGACCCTGTCTCAAAAGAAAAAAAAAGGAAAAAAAAAGGAAGTAATCAAGCACTTTAAAATGTGAATGTTGACTACCACCTCTGTTTGTGTTTGTTGATTTATGCAAACATATTCTGTTTGAATGCCAAATTCCTATTCAAAGAATGTGAGCTCTAGATGAAGATCTTTATGCTATTTGTATTTCAATTCTTTATGAAAACAAGATATTCATTTTTAACCTGTGAAGAGCCATTCTATGTTCATAAATGACTTGGCTTTAGAAATATTGTAGATGTTCAAAGCTGTTACAATTTTTGAAAAAGCAAACAAGAAAAACATGTTTGAACAACCCTTTATAAGCCAGATAAGCACTGCCAGCCTTGGCTAAATTATCTGATTAGCCCATGGCAACCCTGAGGTAACTTGTAGACTGTTCATTTGTATTCTATAAGTTATTTATTTCCAGTGATATATTTATATCTTATGATATATTCAAAAACTTCCCTTAATTCTGGCTTACCTTTCAAAAGGCCTCATCAAAAATCTCACCCTTCTTTATTCACTACTGTTGCACACCTGAGCCAATCTGAGTTCCAAAGTGACACATTACCTACTACCCCTCTGGGTTTCTTCCCTTAATACAGGACAGCAAATGACACCCACTTTTAAATTACTGGTGTCACTGTTCCCCATCGGCAATGAATGCCAACAGCTAACTATATAAAAACAAATGAAAACTCGCAAATACAAATATTTTATTGAAGTCCAAAAATCAAAGTTAGGTTAATTGCCTCTATCTGGCCAGCAAATCTGGTTACATGTAAACCAGAATTTCCTTAGCTTAGCAATTTCATCAGGGGAGTAATAAAATCTGTGCATGGTTTCAGACTTGCTTCTACAGAGCCTACATTCTAAACATCGAGCCACAAGCAGAGGGTTCTCCTCTCAGATCTACCCCTCCAGTCTTTGGCAAACTCAATTGGAAACAGTTCAGTTCGGACCCAATGGTCTACAGTTCCAGACTCCTACTTATAAAACCAATAAAACGATCACCATCATACAGAAAACGTAATCAAACATGAATGCTCTGGATTAAAAAGGTCACATGAGGCCGGGTGCAGTGGCTCATGCCTGTAATCCCACCACTTTGGGAGGCCGAGGTGGGTGGATCACCTGAGGTTAGGAGTTCGAGACCAGCCTGAGCAACATGGCAAAACCCTGTCTCTACTAAAAATACAAAATGAGCTTAGAGTGGTGGTGGTCATCTGTAATCACAGCTACTTGGAGGCTGAGGCATGAGAATCGTTTGAACCTGGTGTGGGGGCGAAGGTTGCAGTGAGCTGAGATCATACCATTGCACTCCAGCCTGGGTAACAGAGTGAGACCATCTCAAAAAAAAAGTCACATGGATAAATGCAACTACATTATTTATTTCTATAGCTATTTGATTTTAAATCTCAGCTTTAGTAAGAATAACAACTCAGCAGTCTTAGCCTGAACCTTCTGGTAAGTGCAAAGTTTCAACTACCTCTTCATGAAGATACCTAACTTTTCTGTGGATTTTAATCTTCATTCTGTTTGTTACTATACATCCTGCCAAAGTTCTTTCTGGCTCAAGAATACCATCCGTAGTTGGTACTGAAGATACGTAGTTCCCCTGTAGATCAGTCAGCTAGATAACACCAAGGGTAACATCTTGACAAAGAAATTCCCAGTTTTTTTAAACTCAATTGTTTCAGTCAATCTCAGCTGCTGGGTTAAGAAGGGCCCACTTTCTGTGAGTTTCTCTGGGCATAGGAGGAACTGCTAGTCACTGTGATTATCACCCACTGAACCTGATGAGAGCCATCAAAACCCAGGGTCCTGACGTTCGAAGCATGTTTTGCTAATGACATTAAACACAAAGTCATCCAGGAAATTTCCTACTATCTGAATTCTGAAAGGGGCTAGATAAACCCTGTAGAAGAATTGATGCGGTAGACAAGAGGCCTAAAAGTCAACTCCATTTCAGATGCCCATGCAATGGAGAAGGCTACTATTCACACAGATAAGATCATGCTCCCTGTATGGCTCACCCGACTGGTACTAGAAATTAATTTTAAAAATTTATTACAGAACTGAGTCAAAGTAGACAAAATTTCCTTTGCAAAACAAAACACCCCCCTCCTTCCCCCCCAAAAGATCAACGACTTCAAGCAAAGTCATGAGGTGAACAAAGCTAACTGTCATTTTGACCTTGCTTTGCTTTAATTCAGGAGACTACTTAGAAATGTACCGAGCAACCCCCTTCATTCGGCTCAGCTAGCAGAGCTAATAGGCTTCTAATTAATTTCCAGAAGATTGCTGTTATAACTAACAGGTTTTAAACATTTGGTTGATTGGGGAAAATGAATTGAATATAATGTATTTGATTTGGAAAATTAGTTTTCATTCTATGTGCTTACCATAATAGTGTTTATTTTAAGTTTACATGATTCCATTAAGAGTCCCAGAACACCACTGGGCTGTTTTCATCCTTACAGAGGCCTAGGCAACTTTAAAAAAAAAAATTACATTTAGATTTTTGTTGGCCTTTATTTGAGGGCAGGTTAAATGCATTTTTTTGGGTGTGTGGCTTTAATAAAAAATTTTCACTTCCTAATATAGCAACAGGCCCAAATACTTCAAAATGATCCTGGCGATACCTCAGTCAAAAGCCCACTCATCGAATGCAAATCCCCAGCAGAAAGGCTCGGCACACAAAGTAAGATGAACCAGTTACGGCATTGTTTACCACGTTTCACTTGATTCCTCCTGACAACCATTTAAACAATGAATGTTGGGAAATGTCCCTCAAAGAATCAACAACAATGGCAGGGACCAGAGCTTTTATATTTAGCTAATACTATTTTTAAAAGGAGAAAATATTTCTTCCTGAAGGGATTATGGGAGGCCTTATTAAAGACACCTGCAAACAAAACGATTGACAATAGATCTTTATCATAATTGATAACTGAGTTATCCTTTAGATAAAACTCCTTTCTTGGAGACAATAACATTAGGATTTAACCTCTGCTGTAGATTCAAGAAATCAGCTAATTGGGGCCAGTAGGATTCCACAATGTTAAGTTTACCAAGGTTATGTGAGTGGATAATAAAAAATGCCCTTGTCTCTCTGGTTAAATAGAAGCACGACGAGACTAGAATTTTCCCTTCTCATGCTGCTAAGAAATGTTTTATATTGACATCAAGTAGCATCCATTCCTCTGCCTCCATATGTGAGACAAAGCACACGAGGGATTCTAATTATGACCGCTCACTCTGCTAAGCACATAGTGGGCCAGCCAGCTTCGGAAACTCAACCTCTGCCTAGCTTGCAGTTGCAAAGAAACAGAACCTTTCACAAAATCTTCTCGAAGTAATTAACAATCCCTGTCAAAACGTGTACAGACAATCATCTGCATTCTGTGAAAACCGGGCAACTGTTCTAGTGACGGCGTCTGAGGGATAAATAATATAGCTAAACCCAGGAGGGCACATTTTAAAAATGTTTGCAAAAGAAAAATAAAATCAGAGGTCCTTGTTTGCAGTAAAAATAATCCACCTGTGAGTCTCAGCTTACTTCACCTCAGTAAACAGTGGATGCCTTCGCCCACGGGTTATGCTGTTTGCAGTCACATGCTCCTTTGCTGCCTTGCTGTGTGACAAACAGGAATTCCTATAAGCATTTCAAGCCTATGACTGACTTTTCTTACAAAGCTAATTTTCCAAATTAAGTAATTTTGGTTCCTTTTACAACAGTGGCTCCACAGGAGATCTAAAGCATCTGAGCATTGAGAAAAAAGCAGGGGTAGGGGGACCACAGGATCAAGCCAAAATTGCAGACCCCAACTGTAGTATTTCTACTTAATGGCCTTAAATTCACCTAATGATTAGAACTACTGTAAGTTGGCACTTAGAAAAACTCAAAGAGGTTCAAATTTCATAAAGTGTTAGCCACAGCAGCTGAGATTTTGGAATATGTATAGCTTTTAATAGATGCATTTCCAAAATAAACACTTGGGAAAAAAAAAAAGGGCCCCAGCTTGAACCACTGACAAGCCGACAAAATTAAACAACAGGAAAAAATAAAGTAAAACCAAACCACATGAGCAAGAATACTGAATAAGGAGATGAGAGAGGAGATGACCCAGCATTATTCTTTAGAGCCTCAAGTTCACAAACAAAAGAAACGCTTTACAGAAGGTATTTCTGTAGGATTGTTGGTTTTTCCTTTTTAAAGACAGCTTTAGACTTAGAGCAATCAACGTGTGAAAACAAAAAAGACAGTTTCTGAGTTGACTTTGATCCTGTACTCAAATTGGCTTAGATATCCTTGCCTTTAAAGTCTTTGTATCCGCAATAACTGCTCTCTATTGTCCTTGTTAATAAAGTATTATTTTCACCTTATTATTACTAATCTTTTCTTTGTAAGTAACCACACCTGGTTCTATCCAAAAAAAAAAAAAGTGCCTAAGTATTTGCCTTTGTGGTAATACAATGCATAATTTAGTTAATCTAGGCTATCTTTCCGTGAGAGGTGATTGTTTCTATATTATGAAATGTGTTCACAGTAAAGCACAATCCATGCCAGATACCTAGAGGCAGACAGAGAGCCACTTACCAAGCATGAAGCTGCTTCAAACTAACCCCGACAAGACTGTATAGCCACTCCCACACACAAGGTATTACTCACGCCAACTTAGCCTCTGAATTATAACCGCACCTTTCTTTTACAAACATGGCCTTTTATGAAGTTAACATTACACACAGCCAGGCCGAGAGTCCCACCCCCAGCCCCCATGAAAAGGGCTTGAAAAAATAGGAACTTCCGTTTTCCATTTGAGATCCTGATGTTACTCTCAACGTTACCTGGATGAAATCTAAAACCGTCAGTGGCAGTAAATCATCCAAGTGTCCAATGTCTTTGGAGAAACGATTTAAAATTCTTCCTGCAAGAACAGGATAGGAAAAATTACTCATTTCCCCAGATAGACCCTTTAAGAGAAACAACTCGCCAACAAATCAAAACAATATTTTAAACGCATATGTATTTAATATATTACGCATTCATATGAAATAAACCGATGTCAGTGGTAAAGAAAAAGAAAATAGGATGATACCTAAAGAGAAACAAAAATATCATCAAATGGCAGCGGGCAGGGAGTTGAAATGTGGACCTGATTTTAAAAGAATGAAGGAAAAAAATCTTGTGACAGTAACAGGAGGGGATGGTGGGTTCTAGAATGTTCCTGCCTTTAAAGATCCAATCTAGGACTTCAATCCAAGTGCAAAGTAGGTAGATGAATGTACATAAATTGATCCTAATTATTTCACTAATTTTGCTTTATCAGCATTTATTTTGCTAAGTGGCATGTTTTTATATAAATATAATGATAACCTCTGTATTTTTTTTTTCCCCAGCCTGGTTGATAGTACCTCACATTTTTGGGGAAACTTGGGATCCTATCATTTTCCAAGCTGTGAGTTTACTACTGGCAAACAGGTTGTCATTTTCAGATGTGCAAACAGTATGACAAGAACAGGTTTATTCTTATCTAAGAACACAAGAGGAAATTATGCAGGAAAACAGAAATATTATTTAATGATTGAAGATCACTGCTCAGCATCGACTTTATTTCCCCTGTCAAGTAGAATCCAAGAAAACAGTATGTCATAAAAGGGTCAGAAACAGATCAAACCTGGTTTCTAATAAATATCTATTCTTTCAAATGATTTCCTTCAAAAAAAAAAAAAAAAAAAGGAAGCTATACACACATAGCCTATGTGGATGTAGGTGACCCCTGAGAAGTGTGTGTGTCTGGGCCTCTGAACTTCTTTTCTAATCAATGCTTCCGGAAGCCCTGCTTACGGATGAGATGTGCGGCCTCCTAGGGTTTGTCAGGATTGACTTCGTCCTGGTGCCTTTATACCAGGCCGCAAGTGGACCGTGAATGGTCAGAGGCTGGGGACGGAGCTGCCTCCCGCTGCCAGGGCTAATGCAGCCTCTGCAGTTCTCCCAAGGCATCCAGCTGGCCAAGGGAAGCACAGGGTGTGCAAGTTGGAGCTGCACCTCAATTTTCCTGTCTCAGGCTTCGGACACGCAGACTCCAGAAAGCATCATTCAGTGACACCTTTGGCAAGCCCAGTGACAACTTTTCTGAGCCTCTAATAACACTTCCTTTAGAGGGTTGTCCTAGGGATTAACTGGGCTCATGCCTGTAGAAAAAACAAAAAACAAAACAAAAAAAAACCCAGGCACAATGCCAGGTACTTTTTCATGGCTGCTAAAAAACCAAAACCAAGAAGGTGTGACGATGACTATGACCCATAGGTTCTGCAGCATGCCACCGGGGAGGAAGTTCAACTTTTCAAATGCGGGTCCTGATGCAGTGGCCCTGGGGAGGAACTGGAGACTGCATTTCCAACCCGCTCCCGGGGGTCCTTCTGCTGTCTGCCAGATCACGCTATGCAGGGTGAGAGGTCAGGCCATTATTTTATCAGCTGTACTTAAGAAACATTAAAGTTAGACGGGCATTTTTCTTACAGATTCTTATGGATTGTGTTTGTCATCTTTCTTGTTATTTTTTCTTATCTCAATGTATCAATACCAGAACAAGGAAAATATAAGCTAAAAAATTAAAGACATAATTAAAACATGAATTATTTCTTAAATGGAAAAGTTAACAATGTTATAACATAGGCAATATTCAGAAACATTGCAAGTACAGTTCAGTTTTTAATAAGTTGAAAGCAATATTCAAATTAAAAAAAAAAAAAAAGATAGGCTAGGGATGGGGCTCACATCTATAATCCCAGCACTTCTGAAGGCAGAGGTGGGAGGACTGCTTGAGCCCAGGAGTTCAAGACCAGCCTAAGCAACATAGCAAGACCTCATCTCTACAAAAAAGAAAAGAAGAAGGAAAAAAAGATAAAAAGCCTACATAAATGATGAGTACTATGTGAAAACCAACTCTTTATCGTGACCATTTGGGAGAATGTTAAAATCTGAGACCCATGGTTGGAAAACAGCAAAAGATACAAGGAAAGCAAAAACAACCGAGAAAGCCCACCTCCTCACACAGCTACGCCAACAACTGAACTGAATGTCAAAGATCAGCTGAAATAGACACGCTTATCAACAATGATCTGAGTGTAGCAAGTATAAGATTAGAAGGTGCAATAGTTACTTTCTTGTTCTAAGACACAATTCAAAGACTGGTGTTTGCAAAAAGAATATTTTCTTGTTTTAAACTTTTTTTTGAGATGGAGTCTCACTCTGTTGCCCAGGCTGGAGGAGATCTCAGCTCACTGAAACCTCCGCCTCCCAGGTTCAAGCGATTTTCCTGCCTCAGCCTCCCGAGTAGCCGGGATTACAGGCACATGTCACCATGCCCAGCTAATTTCTGTATTTTTAATAGAGACAGGGTTTCACCATGTTGGCCAGGCTGGTCTCAAGCTCCTGACCTCAGGTGATCCGCCCACCTCAGCCTCCCAAAGTGCTGGGATGACAGGCGTGAGCCACAGCACCCGGCCAGAATATTTTCATCTGGCTTCGCAGTAGACTGTCATAATCAGAGCTGTGATGTCAACTTCACAGCCCCATAGTCATTTCCCCAGAGGTCTCCAAATCAAACACTTATGATAAATTCCCTGCATGCACATGCCACACCTCTTCATCCAAATGACACGTGGTCCCTGCTGGAGCATCTCCAGGGATGTCGAGGGAAGAGGAGTCACTGTTTCCTGAGGGGACCCAATCTATTTTCGGACTGTTCTGTTAGACAAGGCGTGCTAACATTAAACCAAAGTTTGCCTTCCGGGAACTTTCAACCATTGCTGCTGATTCTGCCCCTACAATCATACAAAGTGAATGGAATTTCTCTTGACAGGGCAGCTCTTCAACTACTTGAAGAAAGTTAATCACAGGTTTTCCAGACTTCTCACAGGCACCTATCCCTTGCATACCTCAATTATCTCTTGTAACACACCGGGTCCCATCTTGGCCATTGCCTCAGCACACAGTCAGGTAGCCAGCCTCTCTGAATGCCCGGTACCCAGGATAAAAACCAGTACCCCAGGTATTATCTGCATATCTCAGGGTCAGGATATATCCCATGACTAAGCCCACAATCATGTAAATTCCTGCAGCCGGATCACATTTTGGACTCACATTTAATGTAAATCCACACCACTCCAATCCTGCATGATGGCACAGGTAGATTTTTGGGAGCTGGACAATAAACAACTATTGAGAGTGCATCCCCCATGGACCCCAAAATTCAATTTCTAAGAGGTATCTCAAGGCATTAATAAGTGCATCAAAGATGGTGAATGTGGTATTTGGCAAATCAGAAGTAGGAAACAATCAAAATGTCTGAAAAGGCTCTATAATAAGTTATTAGCACATTAAAACTTTCCTCTGAGAGAGACAGAGACCAAGCTCCTTTGAAGTCGTAATACCACATACACAGTCAGGTTCCTCCTAACTTTTTTCCACAAGATAGAATATTATGAAAGGTGTTAATGAACTTTTTGTCAAAATACAAATTAATAAACAACTCTATTTTACAAACTGCTTCTAGAATCTAATCTGAAGTTAAAGTCACCTCCGGAATTCTAATACCTCTCCCATAACTCAGACTTCTTAGTTCCCTTATAACCAAACTACAATTTAAAACGTGTAAGTTCCCACGTCTACTGTGAACCCCATTCTTTTTTGTAACAAAAAAGTGTATTTAAATATGAAAATATTGAGGTATATTTGCAATGATGCATAATTTACATCTCATAAAACTCACCCATTTCAGGCATCCAATTCAATGAATTTTAGTAACTTTACTGAGTGATGCAGTCATCACCAAAAATAAGTTTCAAGACATTTTTACGCCCCCAATAAGCTCGCTCATGCCACTCACAGTACCTCTCTATGCCCACTCCAGCCTCAAGCAACTACTCTCTGCCCTTTGCTTTTTCAGTATCTTTCATGGAAAAGGAATCACACAATATGTGATCTCTTGTGTCAGGCTTCCTTCCCATATCTCAAGTTTTTGAGGTTCACCCATGATGTAGAGTGTACCACTCCTTCCTTCCTGGTGAGCCCATTCTGTACCACAAAAACGGTCTTAGGTATCTGCAAAAAAAGACCCCATCAGGCCATGCCACCTCTGACCTTGAAGGTAAAAGTAGATGTGTTTAGTGAACTCTTCAATATTGTAAACTTCTTTATAGGTATCCACACTTACAGCTTCACTGACGGTTCTGAAAGCTAATACTTCTGATAAGAATTGGCCTTTGAGTCAGGCGCGGTGGCTCATGCCTGTAATCCCAGCACTTTGGGAGGCTGAGGCAGGTGGATCACAAGGTCAGGAGTTCAAGACCAGCCTGGCCAAGATGGTGAAATCCTGTCTCTACTAAAAATACAAAAAACTTAGCTGGGCATGGTGGTGGGCACCTGTAATGCCAGCTACTTGGGAGGATGAGGCAGAGAATTGCTTGAGCTTGGGAGGCGGAGGTTGCAGTGAGCAAAGATGACTCCACTGCACTCCAGCCTGGGCGACAGAGCGAGACTCTGTCTCAAGGGGAAAAAAAAAAAAAGAATTGGCCTTTGATATTCCTGCAGAGAATTGGAAGCCAGAAGCTCAAAGAGAGGGTGGACTCTCAGGTACCCATCGTTGATGGTAGGTGGAGTGTGCAAAGGTAAGATGGGGAAACCACCATCTTGAGATGTGAGAAGTAGAATGTAAATCCAAGCAGTCTGTCCCAAAGAGCAGAGTCTATGAAATGGTGTTGGGAGAATTGATGTATGCACTCCTGGTACAATGTGGTGCCACACGGCAGGGCACAGACTGGTCCAGAGTACAGGCTGTTGGGTGGAGCCTGGAGACAGCTGCTGGGCTGAAAAGGATGACAGCATCCATGACACTGTGGTTTGGGAGGAGAGGAAGCCATG